GCGAAGTCCAGGCACTTAACTGTGTCAGCAAAGGAGCAGCAGGTTTCATCTACTTGCTCCAACTTTAGGAACAGCTGGGCTAATTGGGCTAACGTTCTCTCTTTAGTATTGTTACTGCCTGATAAAAAAGCCCACGAAATCACACATGTCTTTACAAGATTGGAGGGTAGATAAAGCTCCGTCATTGTTACTAGAACATAAAAAACATTGGAATAGTGATCAATACAGTTGTGAAACTTCCTCTCTTGTCAGACAGCAAGTTTAAAATAGACGGACTCAGTCTCTTTCTAGCCTGGTAGGTTGTAGTCTGCTTTTTAAACCTTTTCCCTGAGTCCACACCACTAGCCAGTCATCCCTGGATTTCAATGAATTCTCAGGAAACACATTTAGATGTCCCAGACAAAGACCCCCCCAGGATTTTCCCTCTCTTGTGCATTCACAGACTCTCTCACAGTCTCTCACACCAGCTGAGACTTTCAGCACTTACCAGCTAAGCCGACAAGAAGACAGACAGCAGGTTGTTTCACTGCTCTTCCAAACTCCTAGATTGAACCAAATTTGGGGCAGATTACATCACACTTGTTGAGTCACCCTGTGACCAACAACCATTTTCCCAGCCGTGTGATCATCAGTTCTCTCTAATTTGCCACTGTAGCCCTTATGATCACATATGAGAGGAGCACAAGCCACCAAAAGCTTTGGGTTTTCCTTGCTTCTCAGCACTCAGGGTACTTGCAAAAGCTCGTAGCAACATGTGTGTCTGGGGCCAATGCAGACAGAATGTGTGGAGCTCACAGAACATTTCTTTTGGCCCTTCTTCTAGAAAGGACTCACTGAAGATCTGTTCTGAATTAAACATACTGGAGTTTTCTTGTGAGTGACCCATAATGCTCAAAGATTTCATTCCGCCTCAGAGCTGGCAAGGAACAAAATCCAGCATCATCAATCTCTTTTCTGTGCCACAGAGAAATGTACACAGTGAACAAATAGACCAGAAAATGAAATGTGGTGATCTTTGAGGGGAAAAAAACACAACACAACGTATTGTTTTAATCAAATGATTCGTAGCACAGAGAAGGAAAGTAATACTTCATTTCCATCTGACAGCAAAACTCTAGAACTTAAGTAAATGGCTTAATAAGCTGTCATTTTGCTTGAAATGATGACATGAGTACTTCTGTTTCATATCTTCCACCTCAGTGTCACACTGTTAAATCCCAAATATGGGGGATTTGCCACTGAGCATTTGAGATCAACGGCATCGAACGTTTCTGTTAAATTCAGTGGATTAAAGTTGGCAGAAAACTATTACAATTATCCATGGGAAATGTGAAATTTCTAGAGTCTAGCCATACCTCTGAGTTCAAGTCAGAAACATTTTTGAAGAGACCATGGTCTCTGGCTGTGCATGAAACACAACAAGAAGTGGTAAGGTGAAAGCTATTTCTTCCCTTCTCTTCTGAATAAAGGCCTATTTTCCTTCAAGAAAGGAAAAAAGAAAAAGGAAAAAGAAATTCATACCAGAAGAAGTCATGAAAATAAAATGCAACTCATGAAGATAACATAGGTGCATAGATAGAAGGTCTCCCAAGCCCAAGGACATGACGCTGAGCTAATCACAGCTACCAAAATCCAATACCAAATAAATACATCAGCTGTCTATGGAACTTCTGGGAGCCCCTTTGTAACTTTATGTTTTCATCAAGTGTAACTCAAAGATACTTTGGACAGCTTTACAGAAGGATTATCAGAACTGGCTTCTTTGTGGGATCTGCCATCATGTTTGCAAGTGTAAATGTAGATTGTGGTTAAAAAAAAAGATTTTCAAAGTAAATAGATGCTAAGGTTTCTCTAAAATCAAGTTTAGTAAATGTGTCATTCTTTTGTAATTCCAGGAATTGTGAAGCTGTAGCCTTTGAAAAATATCTAGTCCTTTATTTATTTTAATCCTCTCTGGATTTCCATCCATTATTTACAAGTGTAATGTGAGTTGTTTATGCATACAAGAAAAATGGTAGTTTTCTGATTTACTATGCAGAATCATGACATCCCACTACAATGCACTATTAGCATGAGAATACTTTGCACTTTTATAGTGGCTTCCATGCAAGGAATTTGAATTGCTACTTTTGCCATTTAAACTTATGCTGCCAAATCAGCTAGGAAAATATGAATGAAGAAATACCGTGTGTTTTTGTTCTCTACAGAACTGCCTTATAGTTGGGGAACTGTGCTCCTTCAGATACTCAAGACCTGTCTGCATGCCTGCCTGTGTCAGCTGCTGGGTACCTGCTTTAGTGGGGGTTTGGACTTGATGACCTCTTGAGCTCCCTTCCAACCCCTGTGATTCTGTGATTCTGTGATGATGTGAAGGTGCACTTCCTGAGCAGGTGGCTGCACCTCAGTTACCATGCGGATCACTATCGCTTCTACTCTCAGCAAGTTGCTGGCTGTGGCATTACTGTGCTGTCTTTGTGGGACAGTAGTTAACATTTACTTGGGAAGGAAACAACAAAGCATTGTCAGCAATGCTTATGTAGCTCCCCAGCATTTATTTCAGAAACAAAAAGGACAGGAAATTTTCAAGCACAGTTGAGATTAACTGTTACTTGCCCCATATCCGACTCCCATCAGCTTCCTCTGGGACCTGAGAGCCCTCTCACATCTCCACATACACAGTACATATAAGAAGGAGCAGCAGGGAAAGCTGTGGTAATGAAGAGAAAAGTGATTTGCATCCTCAGTCCCGAAGGCCTGGCACAGTTTAGAAAGAACCTTACCCCTGAGACAAAAGATATTAAGGATGTCATGGCTCTGAGTGGCAAGATACTGATTTGCCCTTGTCTTAGCCCCATCGCCTACCCCGCTTCTGCTGCTTCAGAAGTCTCACAGCAAAAAAACCTCACTTCAACACACATTACAATCCTTTGCCTTTCCTCCTGTACACCAGTAAGCTCTTCAGTCCCAGAAATGTGACATGCCAACATTAATGGTCTCCATTCTTCTCAATCTCTTTCTGGCTCCCTGTGATACAGTCCTCTCTCCACTTCCCTCCCTCCATCCCTTACTGACATCTGTGAGCCCCTTCTCTGTCCTCAACAGCACAAGCAAAACTCAATGCCAACTTCTGGTTTTGGTTGTTGGTGGTTGATATATATATATATATATTTATGGTGGTGTTATTTTGTTTGCTTATTTTGTTTTGTTTTTCCTGAAATCCTGAAAGTAAGGATAACCTATGCTCCCTTAGCTCAGATGTGGCAGTCCCTATCTTTTCGATTTAGAAAATAAACTCATTGGGTCTGAAGCTGTATCTTTTATGTTTACACGAAGTGGGGTGGGAGCTGACTTGGAGAAGCAGGCTGTGGGATGCCTTATACACTGCCTGCACCACATGGCCTCAGCCTCAGCCAGGATGTGCCTTGGGACACTAACACAGAACCAAACGTGTGGGTTTCGGAGTCCTCTCTTCTGAAAAGGAGCACCTGTATTTCTGTAAAGTATGAGCAGCACCTCCAGCCACAGTAGTAAAAGAGTGGCAGGAACTGCACCTAGCCCATGCCAGAGGAGAGTAAGGGAGCCAGACCCGTACAGGGTTGTGGTGGCCAGTACAGTATTAGCCAGATCTACACAATAGAGCCAGGTCTCCCTGGTAGACAGTGCTGTCACATTCAGGTGGGCGTGGGCAGCTCATTCAGGAAGGAGACCAGGGAACAGCAGGCTGTTTTACTCAAAGCCAATCCTTTTCCTTCTCCTGAGGTCGCCCTGGATCCCATTTCATATGGGTCTGCTTCTTCTAACCCTCGACCAGAAGAAAGAAAGGAGTCTTCAAATACCTGCATCAGCCAGACTGTGTCAGCCCCTTAGATGTATTCAGGCAGTTGCATCTGAACATGATGCAAGTTTTTTGCTACTAGCCTAATTTAATGAACGGGGTTGCAGTCTTATATTTCTTTCCTTTGGTTTGTATTGTGTTCTATTTCCTCCTTCCAGGGCCCTATATCTGCAAGAAGTAGAAGGGGGATTCTTTCTCTCATGTCAAGAAAATACCCAGCAGGAAGCAGCTCACACCCAGCACTCTGTTCATTCTGCAGCATTTTTCTTGGTGTCTTGAAGCTTCCTGTGCCGTTGCTGCGAGAGACAGAGCCACCTCTGTTAAGTACAAAACTATCACTGAAAGTTAAAATAATTACCTACAGAGAGAATGTGTGTTTCTTTCATATAATTAGACAATATGCCCAGGTGTTTAGCACCAATGCATCTACTCCTTAATTGGAAAAAGTCAAGGACAGATACTAATTAGCAGCATTAATCAAAAGCAGAGGTCTAATGATAATTAACAACACATCCCCACTACAAATCCAGTACCTTGAATACAGGGTGTTCCAAACTGCAAAATGAAATGACCGGAGCTTTACGTGTCTCCCATTCCAATTGCAGATTTGGCAAAACTACACATTATTTCCCCAAACTAAAGAATACCAGTCAGAGCTGCAGATTATGTTATTATAATATTAACAGTGATTTTCCTGGGCTCTGCTATGCCATTATGTGATTACTTACAAGAAGGAAAATGTTGAGGGAAGGGAAACTGCAAAGCAGTGAGGCTGAAAGCCTGAAACCACAGGTCTCTGAAGAACAAGACACCACAGAAGCACAAACAACAGCCCACATCTGTGAATATCATTTCCCATGTTCACCCCAGGACACAGAGTAGGGGACTGCAGTTCCTCAGAGCTGTGCAACTTCTGCCTCCATCCACTTTCTCTTTTCTCATCTACTCAGATGGCACGAGGCAAAAGTGAGCATTTTATTGATTCAAAAACTGGGGAAAGAGAGAAAATCTCCACATCACACAAACAGGTGGGCCAGGCATTTGCAAATAAAGTGTCCAAATTCTGACAGAATGTGTGTGCTGAAAAACCCACAGCTGGACGATGAAAAATTTAATCATATTTTTTCCAATGTTTTAACACTCTTTACTCACATGCACGTGTGTAATTATTTAATAATCTCCTTTATTTCACTCAACTAATTTGTGTAATAAAGGCCGAGGATGGATGTCAGTGCCTGCATGGCTACAGGAACTTCTAAGTTTAATGCCCCTATTTAGCAACTGTACCGTGCTTTGTGTGCATTGCAGGCTGAATGCAGCACCTACCACAAAAGTCCCAGGGACCTAAACCCCAAGCTCACCAGAGGCTAAAGTTTATCAGAGGGAAAACAGAAATAAAACCCCAAGATATGGTCTGAACTGTTCTTCAAATCAAGGTTGTAGTTATTCTTCATTCTTCCGCAGCAAGGACAGCTGCTACACATCCTCCTTCTCCCTGAGGATTAAAGCAATGGAGATGGCTACTGACACCAAACAAATCATAGAATCTCACAGAAGTTAACTACTCTGTCAGCCTGCTGCAGCTCCAACACAATCTTTGTATTATTTTGATATTTCCATGTTATATTCGTGTTATTTAGCCAAGAGACAAAGCAAAACAGGGAAAAGATAAACATTCACTTCGTGTGGTGTGTGAACCAAGAATAATTGCCATCGACGTTGATTAACCTCTAGGGACACTGCTGAACTTAAACTTGCAGACGGGGAAATCCCAGCTGATACATGCTATGCTTTGAGTAACACTCATTACATGTTTCTACGTTTGTATTTATCTGAGAAAACTGTGAAAGTAATGTTCCCATGCTGGGAATAATGTGCTATCATATGCTCCCGGATTGTGCAGTGTCTGAAGCTCACTACCCCTACCAGGTCCTAATGAAAGCTGTTCCAAAAAAAAAAAAAAATCATACTATTTCTCAGAGAACAGCAGCCTCCAAAAGCATTTGGTATTTTCTAGTTCAGTGCTATTTATTCAGATAAAGATACTTCAAATTGTTAATGAATATCCATCACCAGAGACTGAGTTTTGCACTGCCCTACTGAAGACCCTACTGGGTTAATTGGCTTCACAGAGGTGACATGATTTCACTTAGAACTTGGCTGAACCAGCTCTACCTACATTGCCTTAGTTATTACTTAGTTATTACACTGCAGGCAGAGAAGGCTACAGGCCAGGTACGAATCTTGCTGCCAGTGCAATGCCACAGCATATCCTGACTCAGCTGTGTGATGTACCACGGCATCAAATCCAATTTGCCACATATATTTTATAAGCAAACTGTACCAGAATTTCTTCCAAGGCTTACTCCATGGCTGGAAATGGATGTTTCACTGGAGTTCTGTATTAAGGTTCCCACGGCTGTTTTCATTATATTCAGTGTTGTTGGGTGATGATACAGAATTGTCTCCAGGTGCCGGAAAAGCCCACTGTAGAAATCACTCTAAACAAAAGAAAACATTCTGTAAATGACCTATTTTTGTATTATTTTATTTATAACTACTGAGTGCCTCAGTTCTCCTTCCCACTGCTTCCCTTCTCTGCTGGCTTCTACCACAATTCCACTTCACAGGGTTTCCTCTCACCTCATTTAACACAGCAGAAGCCTGTAGCCAAAGCATGGGGTCACGTGAAAGTACTGCCCAGCATTGCTTTCTTATCTGTCTTACAAAGTTACACAGAAATGTAACCACACTTTTGTTAACATGCCAATGTGGGAGCTTCCAATACTGATTAGCCAGCCAGAAATGAAAGTTCTCTGTTTTCAAACACAAGCCAACACATTCAACTCCCCAGAAAAGCTGAGCAAGTGCTTCCAATCTTTAGTTCTTCCTTTTCTTTCAGACAAAGCATACAGGACAGACTCTGAAGTGAAAGGCGTTGACTGGAGAGTCAATGATTCCTCTTCAACGTACCCGTTTCAAAGGAGGGACATCATGTTCCCACTTCTGATTCTCCACGTAATAATACATGGTGAGATCTAACTAAATTTTGCAGATAACAGATGCAAAGATTCAATCTGTTACCTGCGTATCCTTTCAAGACAGCAATTAAGGTTTTTTCAGGTAGTGGTTTCAAAAGAAAAGTTTAAGGTTCTCTGGAATAAACAATGTTGAGAGGTAGTGTATGTCATCTCTGCTACAGAAGCATCTAGAAATCCCAGCTAGGAATCAGAAATCAGCGGCAGTCCCCTTTTATATCCATATGAGTGATGAAAGCTACCTTTTCCAAAATAGAGCTCATTACCTGAGTGACTCACCGTGCACAACAGGCAGGACACAGTGTGAGGCACAGAAAGCTAAGAAAGCAGAAACTGTATGGTGAAGCACTGGCACTGGTTGCCCAGACAGTCAGTGGATGCTCTATCCCTGGAAACAATCAAGGTCAGGCTGGACAAGGCAGCATGGAAAAACCTGACTTAGCTGTAGGTGTCCCTGTTCATGGCAGAGGGGTTGGACCAGGTGATCTTTAAGTGTCCCTTACAAATTAAACAATTCTATGATTCTGTGATTCTAGAGATAACAAGAACCTATACAACACAGGTGTAGAAGCATAGGCAAAAGAAAGTCAAATGGATAACCCATCATCTGCAAACATGAAACTGTCTTTCCCTGGGTAGATGAAAAGACACTGGATCTAAAAAAGGGAAAGGGAAAGAGAAAGGGAAAGGGGGAGGAAAAGGAGAACAAAAAGGAAAAGGAAAAAGGAGGAAATCTCTCTCATTTTAAGTGTGTTTGTCCATCATATGTTAGAAGGTTTGATGATACATTTGAGTTCTGCTAAGAGAAGTCTCAACCTTCCAAACTGCTCATGAAACACATCTCTAGAATCTTATTAAGTCTGAGAACCCAAGTAGGTCTATACCCAACTTTAGTGGAAGCATCTCCTGAAGTACTTCTGAAGTGCTCCGTTATCTTTCCCAACACTTTTTCCTAGAGAAATAGCATCACCTTCAGGCCAAAAAAGGCTGCATTCCAATTTGTTTAGTCAGGAAAGACTTAAAAATTGCTTCTCAAGCCTTGCTAGGTTTTTGTGTTTTTTTTGATCCTATACATGAGTATACAAACATTTTTACTAGACTGTATATAGTTTTTTTTTAAGGAGATATATTTCCTAATTTTGGATTCACTAAGGTTTCAGAACAGTCTGAGCAATTGGGCTCAGAACAAAATAAAAATAGAAAAAAATGGAAATATAGCAATATAGCAATATAAATAGACATAGCAGATGTAAATAACCAGGGAAAGCTGCTCTTTATCCAGCATTCATCCATGCTGTACCGAGGCCAGACAGAAGACTTATGGATGATCAGGCAATATCACTGGAGACAATGAGGGAGGCTAGTGAGAAACATGAAGAATTATCTTTAAAAGATCTTTATGGATCATAGTTTGAACTATATTTATATTGATATTTATAGTCTAAAGAATTACAAACTATATTCATAGTTAAAAGGAGAGAAAAGGAGTGATCAGGAAAAAAAAGGGGAGAAGGGAATAAGTAGAGGAAAAAAAAGTGCAGGTGAATTTCAGAGTCTCAGCTCAAAGTGCTCAGAGACCAAGAGATCTAGCCAGTAAATTCATGTCATGTGCAGGAAATAGCAGCAGATTCAGGAAGCTTCTGCAAAGATGGCAGGAAATTAGAAAGACGGTTCGCTACACATAGTGCTGATAAAGCAGTTAACAAAATATTAGAAAATCATAGAATCATAGAATGGCCCAGGAAGGGATCTCAAGGATCATCAAGTTCCAGCCCGTCTGCCACAGGCAGGGCCACCAACCTCCAGATCTGATTTTGACCAGGCTGTCCAGGGCCCCATCCAACCTGTTCTTGAGCACCTCCAGGGATGGAGCATCCACAGCCTCTCTGGGCAGCCTGTATCAGAACCTCACCACTCTCTCTGTGAAGGACTTCTCCCTGGCATCCAATCTGAACCTTCCCTCCTTGACCTTAAAACCATTCCCCCTTGTCCTATCACTGTCAATCCTCATAAAAAGTTGATTCCCTTCCTTTTTATAATCCCCTTTTAAATACTGGAAGGCTGCAATGAGGTCTCCTTGCAGTCTTCTCCAGGATCAAAAAGCCCAGCTCCCTCAGCCTATCTTCATAGGAGAGGTGCTTCAGTCCTTTGATCATCTTTGTGACCCCTCTCTAGACCCTCTCCAACATCTTTCCCTGGGGGCCTCAGACCTGGACACAGTACTCCAGATGGGACCTCACAAGAGCAGAATAGAAGGGGACAATCACCTCCCTGTCCCTGTTGGCCACCCTTCCTGATGGAACCGAGGATACCATTGGCCTTCTGAGCTGCAAGCACACACTGCTAGCTCATGTTCAGTTTTTCATCCACCAGGACCCCCAGGTCCTTCTCAGTAGAGCTATTCTCAAGTTCTTCTCCCTCTCTGTATATGTATCTGACCCAAGTGCAACACCTTGCACTTTGCTATGTTGAACCTCATTAGGTACACATGGGCCCACCTTTGGAGTTTGTCAAGGTCCATTTGCATGACATCCCTTCTTGTCACATGTAAACAGCCTTTAAAAAAATCAGTGCTTAGCAGAAGTGAGACAAGAAGAAAATAAAAATTGCAAGTTATAGGACCTATAGTTTTGCAGAGGTAGGATCTGAGTGAAGTATTCAGAAGGATTGCTAAGATTCATACTGCCCTTTAGTTTTCTTTCCTGAGGCTGCTTCCAGGTAACCTCTCAGAAGTCAGTTTGGAACTGGAATTTTTCAACTCTGAATACTTGGACAATTCCGAGAGCCCTTCAAAAATGGAAATCCAAAACAAGCAATATTGCCATATGTAACACTTGTCCCATGAGATAAATTAATGCCGCCATGGGCAGGGCTGCCCCGGGGCCCCATCCAACCTGGCCATGAGCGTCTCCAGGGATGAGGCACCACTGCTTCTCTGGGCAGCCATGCCAGCGCCTAGCCACCCTCTGAGGAAAGAATTGCCTCCTAAGTACAAAGATCTTCTCACGAATAACCCTCACAACGCTCGATAAGAGTTATATTTAATATATTCTGCTGTCAGGATGCACTCGCCCAGAGGACACCTCAATCATCTGCATACCCGCTAAAGGATGGGCGCAGCAGCACACAGCCCTGCGCTGAGGACAAAGAGGCCACGAAGGAGGAAGGGCACCGTCAGGGGCTTTAGCAGCTCTCTGCGAACACTTCCCTCATGATTAACAAATAAACACAGAAATCAAAGGCACGGCTGAGTTGTTTGCGCGAAGAAACCGAAACGAGCAGAGCGGGGCGGGGCGGGGAGGGGCGGGGAGTCGGCCATCGGCATCGAGCAGCCCAGCAGCGCAGCCGGCAGCTGTACGCTTTTCGTCCCGCCCCGAAGCGTCGCTGTGGCGGGGCGGGCCCAGCCGCGCTCCCTGTGCAGCGTAGCGCCTTACGGCCCATTTCGCCCTTAGCGGCACCATGGGGCCTTCAGCGCGCGGCTCTGATTGAGCCCGGCGGGGAGACGCGGGGAGCCGTCGGGCTCGGTTTCCGCACACCGTAAGGATGGCGCCCGCTACGAGGTACGGCTACGGAGATCCCCGTTATGGGCGGAGCCGGGACGGCTCGCTCTGGTTGTGGGCGTCGGAATCGCGCCGTTGGAGGGAGGGAGACCCCAGCAGCACGGGCTCTAGGGTCGGCCGCAGGGGCAGAGCGTGCGGTGTCCCGTCCCAGCCCCTGCCTCGGGGAGAGGAATCTGCGGGGCCAGCTGGGCTGCGTGCGGTGAGAGAGGGGGGGCGGGTGTTTCCTGGAAAGGCCGCTTCTTTCTGTTTGCGTCCTGTGGGTCGACATCCGCGTCCCCAGCAGCTCTTTGAGGCTGAATCAGAGCAGCTTGTTGCAGGGCCAGGCTGTGCGCTCGGGACCATCGAGCCCAACTCCGGGCTACATGCAGTGTCACCAGCGTTCAAATCCTTTATCTGACAGTGTTGTCCAAACGCTCCTTGAGCTCCATCACTGGTGGCCGTGCCCACAGCCCCGTGCATCCCGTTCCCCGCCCACCGCCCTGTGGTGCAGCCCCTTTCCCTGACCCCCAGCTGCCCTCCCCTGACGCAGCTCCATGCCGTTCCCTCGGGCCCTGTCGCTGTCACACAGAGCAGAGCTCAGCGCTGCCCCTCCGCTCCCTGTGAGGAGCTGCAGCCGCCGTCAGGCCTCCCCTCAGCTCCTCTGCTCTGCGCTGAGCACAGCGAGGGACCAATTTGGTCAGCTGCTCCTCGTACACCTCACCCTCCAGACCCTTCACCATCTTTATAGCCCTCCCTCCTCTAATAGTTTTGTGTGTCCTTCTTGTATTGTAGTGCCCAAAACTGCACATGCTGCTTGAGTTGAAGCCTGTCAGTGTAGAGCATAGAACCATTAAGGCTAGAAAAACCACTAAGATCCCCCAGTCCAACCACCAGCCCACCCCCCCACGCCCACTGCCCACGTCCCTCAGTGCCACATCCACACGGCTCCTGAACACCTCAGGGACGGTGACTGCACCACCTCCCTGGGCAGCCTGTGCCACTGCAGCACCGCTCTTGCTGAGAAGAAATGTTTCCCAATACCCAACCTGAACCTCACCTGGTGTGACTTGATGCCATTACCACTCATCCTGTCGCTGTTACCTGGGAGCAGAGGCTGATCTCCACCTCACCACAACCTCCTTTCAGGTGGTTGTAGAGAGCAGTGAGGTCTTCGTTGAGCCTCCTCTTCTCCAGACTGAGCAGTTCTCTTGCTCCTGTGGTTTCTGTAATAAAATTGGTTCATATACCATACTGCCTGTGTAGGATTAGAACATTCCTTTGCTGACTTCCATACATAAGGCATCTTTTCCATGTCTATCTACCCCTCTCAGTATTCCAATATGTAGATTTCTATAAATAAGCATGCAGTCTGCTTGTTTCAAAGAATATGCTGTGTTTTCTAATTCCATGGCATGAAGCATTTCTAAAATACAAGCCAGTGATTTTCAAAACTTCAGAAATTGCTATCATTATTTGTTTTTTTCCTTGATTGGAAACAGTCAATTCAAAACAGCCTAGCCTGAACTCAAGTTAAAGATGAGCTGCCTCTGCAAATGAGATGGAATTGCGAAGCTGAGTTTTGAAAGTGCTGGAGACTTCAAGCAGCACCCAGGAGTACCCAACCCAGTTACTGTGTTGGAGCTGGCTGATGAGGTGAGTTGGGGCTGGAGTCACGGGTATTTCCCTGGCTTCTTGCTCAAGGTTGCTGAGGCTATAAGAAGTGACAAAAGATAATAACAGTTCTGACAGAAATGAATTTCCACTACTATTGATTAGTTTGCCAAGGACATATAGATTTAAGCAGCTATGCAGACTGGAAGAGCAATGTGTTTGGACACATTTTTCTTCTGTATTCTAAGGTGCTGAACCATAGAATATGTAAGAAATATTCAAGAGTACAATAGCTATTCATGACTGTATATTCTGCAAGGGTCTGTGGTGGACCAGTTATTGCATAATTCCTTAAAGTCACTGTGAAAGTAACATTGTTTTCTGTGTAGTTTCTGGACAAAGCTGGTTAGCTTGTTGAAAACAGAAAATATATTTTTTCTACTTCTGAAATCTGTAAGCTTGATCTGAATGGGAAATTCAAATTATTTTTTTCTGTATGATTTACTAGTGCCAACAATAAACAGACTTGGTACAAGTTGGCAATTAATTGCTTTCCAGCTTGCTGATATCAGTGACCAACTTTAAAGACTGGAGTTCAACTAGGTGATCTCCAGAGGTCCCTTCCAACCCCTATGATTCTGTGTCTGTGTAACTAGTAAATCATATTTTCTTATCCATCACTTCTAATTTTGATTGAAAAGGGGAAAGAGGGCATTTTAAATCTCCAAAATATTCTTCATGCTTTGACAAATAAATACAATGAACCAAGCTGAAATGAAAAAGAACCTTCTTTTCATCTGTGGAAGAGTTTATTATTTTGCAATTATGATTATCATTTGCACAGATACAGGTTCCTGACACTTAACCAGTGACTTCCTATAGTCACGCTAAAGCTTTGAGTGGAGGAAGAACTGCACCTCAGATAGGCAAATTGAAAAAAAGAAAAACCAAAAATCCTTTAAAATAATGTGTTGAGTTAGAGCATAATATGTGCTTTGTCGCAGTTTTAACTATTCTACAAAACTATTTGTTTTGCACAAATAGTCATACAATGCTAGAGGTATTTATTTTCTTTGAAATTGTAAGAGCCCTTTTCATTTGAGGAGGGGAAGGGAGGGGAGGGGAAAAGAAAATTGATTGTCTGTTCTAAGAAACACCATCCAGGATGATAGCAGTGACTGTTTCAGTGCCAGTGCCTCTTCCTCCAGGGTTAAAATAATTCTTTGTATGTGGACCTCATTTTACTTACAAGTCATTCACCAGTATATCTGCTGAGTGTGATTGTTTTTAATATATCTGCAGGTACAGGAGCAAAATGTTTATTTTACAGTCAGGAGGATGTATTTCTTTATCAGTATGGAAACACTGATGGGAGGAGCACTGCGTTTTTATCAGCTTGGTAAGTTGCTAGTAGTTTTAGTTCAGTGCTGGCTTTTCACTGTGACTCCTCCTGAGTTACTGAAGTAAGATAGTGTGATATTATTAAGGAGTTCTCTCTAGAATAATTCACAGACTCAAATATCTCATGTATTGTATTCTGAATACGCCATTCTACAAATAAACCTGATTTTCCCCTTAGAAAAATACTGCTTTGAAACAATGCACTAATTCTCTAAACATCCAGTGAGCTTTTATTGGCTACATTGTTTTTCATGTCTTGCCATTTTTGGTTTTTTTTCCCCTAAAGACTCCTGGTGAGGTTTCCGAGTTGGCAAGCACAACATGGTTTGTTAGCTGGGACATGATGGGAGTAGGAAAGAGTTCTGATACTTATGTTTTCCTGGTTGTTTCCCTTTTATAACGAGGCAACGTACTAAACTATGGGGGTTTCCAACTACCTTTGTTGATCATGTTTGTTGAAACAAAGTTACTGAAGGAGCTTGATTTCTAGAGGAACAGAATTTGTTTTGGAAGGGGTGAGGTATTTAAAAATCAAATACAGAGAGAAAATAAAAACATCTGTGTCAACAGGAATTCCTTCAGCAAGACAGCTGATGTGAGGTGTCTGGGATAAGAAAGAAAGGCAAACAACTGTTTGCATTTCATAATCCAAAGAGGGTACTCACTGGAAGTGTGTCATTACTAGAGCCTGTGTACTGATGCTGTGTCCTCAGTGTGCTAAAGGCTGTGTGATTACAAATCTGGGCTTGTGTTCAGGTAACAAATAACAACAATTAAAGTATTGCCTTGTTATTCTTACCCACAGGTTGTCTTTTGGGTGGGTGATTTGTTACTAGATTGGAAGAAATGAATTGTTCTAGTTTTAATTGCACATCTTGAAGGGGATGTTTATTATTCAGTAACGATGTAGAAGAACAAGTGCAAAAGGAAGACATACAAGACAGGATGTTTGTGGTGTGCATGGCAAAATTAGAGAGAGCATTTCCTCTCCTCTAGGAACATATTCTTTTTACATAGGCAACTCAAGTTTTAATCTCTTTTGCATCTAATTTCAGAATGAATCCTGGGAGTGCAGTTTAATACTTGTAAGACTAACACCCTAAAAGCCAGATTTGCAAGAGACACTTGCTTGGCTAAGTATCCAACCCAAATGATGTCAACAGAATTGGCACCAAAGTGTACTTGTGTGTGCTGCTTTGTGTGCATGCCCACTGCTCCTTAGAGGGTGATTTTAAGGCACTTTTGCAGAACCGTAAAGATTCTAACTAATTTAGTAGGAATTTTTTCCTCTTCTCTCCCAGTACTACCTGCAAACATAGGCAAGGAACAGAAAATAACTGATGCATTAGAACAGGCGTGCATAGAATGTTGCCCAAGTATAGCCTACTGAATCATAGAAACACCAAGGTTGAAAAAGACCTACAAGATCATCCAGTTCAACCATCTGCCTATCACCAATAGTTCCCACTAAACCACCTCCTTCAACACAAAATTCAAACGTTTCATGAAGACTTCTAGGGTCAGTGACTCCACCACCTCCCTGGGCAGCCCATTCCAGCACCTGACCACTCTCTCAGAGAAGTAGTTTTCCTAATGTCCAGCCTGAATCTCTCTCAGTGCAACTTGAAGCCATTCCCTCTTATCCTGCCACTAGCTACACAAGAGAAGAGGCCAAACCAACCTCACTACAACCTCCCTTCAGGTGACTGTAGAGATTGATGAGGTCTCCTCTGAGCCTCCTCTTCTCCAGACTGAGCAATCCCAGTTCTCTCAGTCACTCCCCATCAGACTTGTGCTCCAGACCCCTCACAGCTTTGTTGCCCTTCTCTGGACACGCTCCAGAGCTTCCGTGGCTTTCTTGTAGTGAGGAGCCCAAAACTGAACACAGTGCTGAATACAGAAGTACAATTACTTCCCTGCTCCTGCTAGCAACACTATTTCTGATATAAGCCAGGATGCCATTGGTAGAAGAAGGGGAGAGTTCATGCAAGGCTGGAGAACAGGATGGAACATAAGTCTGGTAGCCATCCTCTGATCACGTAGGCTATGCAGGCAAGATAGCTATGCTTCTGTCACTTCCCTCTCCTTATCTATGCCTAACAATGTGCAGCCTGGTACTTGTGTCAGGGCCTGAGCTTTGACTGGAAGTTATCAAGGAAAAGAGAAAATGCCGCCTTCAGCAAAAACACGGAGACTGTACAACTGGTAATTAACATATTAACAATCCCTCACATTTTTGGGAATTGAAAGTGATGTCTTTAAGAATCAATGGAAGTTTATCTGCTTTTCTGTGCAGTCATGTGTTTTTCATACCCCTGCTTATATTGTAATTTGCATACCTTGTAGAAGTTCGCCCCCCCTTGCTTATCAAAGCAAACCACATATTAAAAAGAGAATAAAATCACAGTGCTGGGGAACAGCTTTTGGAGCTCCCCTTACCCTTTGGGCCCCATCCTGCAACAGACATATCAACAAGACAGGTAGTATAACCTTCCCTACCCTAATTTACCTTCCTTGGAATTTGTATAACCTTACCCAACCTAACTTACCCTTACCTACCATAATTTGCACATGGCTATGAGGTCAGCACTGCCTGTGCTGAAACCAGGGCATGGGGAGGGCACAGGGTAGTGCTAACTCAAGGGATGGCAAATAGCTGTATGCAGTTTGGTACACTGGCTGAACATAGCTCTGAGAACAGAAAAAAAAAAAAATAATAATAGGCAGCTATGCTGTGTGTTTTGATAAAGGAATTTGAGAGTAGGTTTCAAGATTGACAAAATCATCAGTTTATGTTTGCAACTCCATTTTCAGTTATCATAAATACATTACCTGCCCAGGCATGCTAAAAGGTTGGACACCCATGCGTTAGGACATACAGTGCGTCTGGGACAGAACAGTTCCCAAGATGCCTTGCTTGTAACATCTGGCAACTGCTATTCTGAATACCTTGTAGTTTACCTAGTAGGTGTATTCTGGTACAGTGTTTCACACAGTCCTAACATTTGTAGATCACTATAAGATTGTTTTATTTTTCATAAAGTATATCCCATTTTCTTTTATCTATTTGGGGTGCTTCTTTCTGTGGCACAACTCATTGACACATGAAGCAATTCTGTTATTTGTCACAGTGTGACACCTGACAACCTCCATCCTGTACCAGAGTGCTACTTTGCTAGTTGCCATACAAATGTGAAGTAAAAAAAAAAACCAAACACTCTGCATGCTACAGAAGTTACCATTGCAATCAGTATGAAAACAATAAATGAACATGTTGAAGTATTAGTCAATGTAGTTCAAACAAGGTATCAGGCTAGTGATATTTTGGGAATATTGTGATATTTTGAGAATCTAGATTAGAGAATGGCTTCTTGCAGAGCTTATACAAGAGGATGTGGCAATCTGGAATGTCAGAGTCTGCAAGAAGACTGGGTTGAGAAGATTGCTCAGACAGCAGGCCTGGTTGAGTGGCTGAATGTGGTTTTAACCATGCCTTGTGACAGAAGAAAAAAAATGTTTCAGCATTTTTTTTGTGGTTTTTATTTTCTTTTGCAGGCAGAGAACAGAATTGTGGAGACAGAGTTAGAAACACAGAGTAGTGCTATAGGAACAGGGCATGAGCTTTGACTTGGGAAGGAAAAGCTACTGAACTAGAGAGGAAGCTTGTAGGATTAGTTTACAGATATTGTAAAGTATTGGATGATCAATAAGCATACAGAGAAGTTAGGCTAGTAAGATTATCATGTTGGAAAAGATAATCAGAGATAAATGGAAAGTGCTCAGCAGTGTTGTAGGCTTGCAAGAAATTCTACAAGGAGCAGTCTCCAGAGAGAGATCCTTCCTCGCTGGCAGTCAGCCCTTAAATGGGTCTAGGAGAGGTGTAGCCAGACCTCACCCCTTCCAATCACACAGGTGAATTGCCTTCTCTTGTGCTCCCAGGTGATCAGCTGGCTGACTCAGTGCTCACCTCAGGTGATCAATCAGAGGTTCAGGCCACGATCCAACAGTTCCCATACAGAGTTACATGAATTAGGTGGCTGAAAACAGACATCTAATGCCAAAGATGTATATCTAGCCTTGAGGATTCCCCGTGTTTAGCAAAAGACATCAGTCCTTTCATTACTGAAGATTAGTCAATAAAGTTCTTCGTTTCATTTCAGAAAGGATATAAGATTCTGACTTAACATGGTATTTAATAGATAAATTGACCTTAAAGACACCATTTGATAAGTGCATTTTAAGTAGATTTGTTTGAACTGAGTCTTGGATCTCTTCTAGTGAGGATCAACAGAAGCATGAACCACAGCTAGTTTAAAACAAACCTGGCTCCTAGGAGCCATGAACTATTTGAATTAACGACAATGGTTGGAGAAGGTGCCATCCTATACTCTGATAGAAGGAAGGAAGGAAACAAACACAGAGAAAAGCAGGCGGAGGAAGTTGTGGAACAGAGAGCCCCGTAACAAAGTTAAGTCAAAGGACTGCAGAAACACTTCCACCAAGGGAAGACTTAGTATTGTCTCTGACTGTTGTGGATTAATATTGCCAATAGTAAACTAATTATCAGGTATTGTAGACGTGCAAATCCACTAATACGTAGTTTAATTTTCCAGCGTTCGTCAGCATTCTGTGTGCAGCTTGTTGCAGCAGCTTGCCTGGTAAGAGGCTTCTATTGTCTTTCCAACACTTTTCCTAATACGATTCAGAAGACTTGCATGTTCTCACCAAGCAGCATCTTACAGCTTCATTCTTCTAGAGGAAAGAACTTAACTGACAGTCCTTTGCGTTGTTGCTGTTGTGCAGAACTCACTGTTCTGTTTTATGGTTGCTTTATTTGGGGGCAAATTTTGGTCTTCTCTAATCAGGTTTACTGATTAGATTTGCTGCAGTTTCAAATTTGTTTGTCTTTCATATTGATGATGATGATGGTGATGATGATAGGCTATTGTGTGTTTTCTCTTCTTTTTTTTCGTTCCTTTTCTAGAAGAGATTCCAAGAGGGCCACTTGATAATCTACAAATGACATCTAACAACTTTCAGCACATTTTGTCCTGGCAGGCACAAAGTGATCCAGCCGTGCCAACATACTATCGTGTACTGTACAGTAACCGCAGGCAAGTCTTACTTCATAGAAGACACAATTTTTTCTTTGTATGTTTATCAATTCAAAATACTCAGCCTTGTTATTTTTTTTTTTCTTTCTGTTTTTCCATTCCACAAAGATGCCTTCATATAACAGAAGATTCAAACAGATTACTTTGGATTTTTAGTTACTCTTTATTTTGGTTTGCAGCAACCAGAAGATTGCAAAACAGTGTTCACGAATTGCACAACCCTTCTGTAACCTGACAGATGATTTTGAAGTTGTGTCTGATGAATATTTTGCATTCGTTCAGAGCTTTGTAGGAACTGAAGTGTTCAATTCCTCGTTTCTTCGTTTTTCACCAATCCATGATAGTAAGTTCACTTGTTCATTCCAGTTTTTTGTTCCAGTTAGGTGTAAATGTTCTGCTAGCTTTACAATAAGGCAATAAACTATTTTTTTTTTTTAACTGAAATATTATTGGTACTGAGTGCACAGTGTATATTTTTTCCATGTTTTCCTTTTCTTCTTTCTTTTTTTGAACAGCATTCTTGGGACCTCCAGAATTTAATATCAGTTCCTGTCTACGTTGCATAAATATCACCATAAAGCTGCCACCTACTCACTTAAGAAAAAATGGAAAGCTGCTATCTTTATCTGATATATATAACTACCTTTATTATGAAATAACGCTGAAAACAGTTGATGAAGAACATAAGGTAAAGAATTTTTGTTTCTATTTCTTTCTTGAGACAAGAAACATAGAGAACATAAAATGGCTCTAATGGTCAGCAGATCCACACAAGTGAACAGAAAATACTTAGAATAAATAAAAAATTATCTTGACTTCCTTATACTGCAGTGTAGCAGGCCTAGAAAGGAATACTTGTTGTCCTGTATCCTTACAGGGACTGGGGAAAGGGATTGGAGCTTAGCTATGACCCATAAGAAGATACTGAAATAATGGGGGACAGCTTAGTGTTTGCAAGCAAAACTCAGTTAAAGGCTGCAGTCTCTGAGTGTGTAAGTTTGCTGTAGAAACAGAGGAGATAATCCATTCCCTGTAACAAAAAATAGTGAACTGAAATTCACAGTTGTGCAGACCTTAAGTTAAAAAGGGAGGCATTAGCACTGGGGCTGGCACAGCACTGGAATAAGCTGGCTAGCCAGAGAGCCAACTGCCTGCACTGGAAGCTTTTTAGGCATAAAGTGAGCATCTTGACAGCTAGAGCAAGAGATGAAGCAATTGCCTAGGTAAAACACTGAGTTACTGGGTCAGTTTTTCTAGCTTCACATGTCACGTTCTCTCTTTTTAGGTGAACAGTTAACTTTAAAACACTCTCTCTCATAACAGAGGCCGCCTGAGAGAATCACTGAAGAACTTTTTAGTACAGTCATTGAAGAATTGTATCCAAATAGAAATTACTGTGTGTCTGTTATGGTCGCTGCATCTCTAAATAAACATTCCATCCCATCAGCCTGGAAATGCATAACTACAGACTCTGTAGCTGAGAAAGGTAACTATGCTGTGATGCAGACATTGCTTTTTGCTTTGATTAGGTACCAGTGGTTCCTTTGTACTTAAGAAGATTTACGAGTCGATTCTAAAAATACCAAGAGAGAAAGTAGTTACAAAGTGATAAACATTATGGGGATTCATAAAAATACAAATATTAATATAAGTATAAAACCTCATTCATTTGGGGGCTACAGATCTATTGCTAATCCCACGCACGATTCTAATCTGCACTAACTGCATAAATGGTTATCAAAGGTGGTGTAATTTCTCTAGTTTCTGATTCTAACTTGAAATTTACTCATCTTGACCTGTAGGTGTCCCTTCTATCCAAAATTATTCTGAGATTTTAAGTGGCTGTTCTGAATGTGAAATATGAAATGTGGTAATTGAAAACTTCATTCATGCTTGTTTGTTTTTTTTTCACTTGCAGATTATCAGAGCATCACAATTGCTGTTGCTGTGTGTTTTTCACTTATCTTAGCTGTCATCCTGAAATGTATGCATGTAGGAGGTTATATTCTTCAAAAGAAATCACTTCCAGATACCTTGGTATGTAATTTTCATATTAACCTTCCTGGTTCAAGCAGGAAGCTTGCCATATAAAATTCCTAAGTATATGTATTAGGTACAAGTAATGTATGTTCATACAAATTTGCAGTTTGCTTGTATCAAAGATAGCCTGTAGGCTACTAAATCACACACACACACACACACACAAACTCTTTGTGGTGCACAGAAGCAGGCTACCCCACATAAGAGAATTTGAAAAGCCTTTGAAAATTGTCTCATATATGTAAATCTTTCCCACTGCATATGAATTCCTTGCAATATATCTGAACCAGGACAATTACACCAAAACAACAAAAAAGGGAACTATATAGCTCTGGAAGAAAACTTACTCAAGGAGGGGATTTAGGCAAACACAAAGAAAGCAGTACCTGCATCAGCTCCAAATACTAAGCTATTTTCAGTCAGCTCACTCAGTTATAGGGTTTTGCATAAGTCCATAATTAAGGCAGGGTACTGTCCAAGGCTGTGTGCCTTGACTTGCATTGAGGGCTGTCAGTTTCCAAGAGTGGAGAAGAGGGAAAAGCCCTAGATGCCTTGACTTCTGCAGAAAAGCTGACAATGTGGCACAAAGAGAATAATTTGTTTGACGACCTCGTGGTTGGGGTATTTTTTCAGACTTTTCTGTGAGTGTGCCAGTTTGGCTTATAGTCTGTTGTTTTTTGATTCAATTTGTTCTTTTAGGTATTCATGAAAACATTTACCTATTTACCATGTACATTTGAATCTGAAGAAATAGCCTCTGTAGAGATCATTTATAAAGAGGTTAAAAAAAAGGCAGAAGGATCCATTGGGGCTGTCAGCAATGAAGATGACAGTGAAAGCGATGACAGTGACAGCGATGTCATGAGTAACCATGACTACACGAGGCGTGATATCGTATGTAGAGCACCTCAGTCCTCTGACACGTCTCATGTGTTTGTGCAGCACTCTACAAGTAGTACATGTGATGACAGTAGCAGCCGGGTGAGTCAGAATCCAGATGATGACCCAGAAGTCTTTGAAGAAAACGAGCTGGAAGCTGAAGAAGAGAAAGACACTAATAGTGAGTTACTCAGTCCTTTGTCTAAGGCAAATTGTACCTATTCTCTTAGGTCAAGGAGCAATGCTTGCTTTACCATAAACTTAAAATCTGTGCTTCTGGGAATCTCTGAAGAGACCACAGATAGTTCTGCAGCTCTCCTCTCTTCTCAAGAAGATGCTGTTGACTGGCAATGTGCACATGCTGTTGAATCCAAACTCCTTGATGACATAGAAAGCACACAGAAACCGCATCATCTAAACAGCTCTGATGTGTGGCAAAATTCATCTAGTTCTTCCAGTGAAAGTGACTCATCGGATTCAGATACGGACCCAAAAAGCGAATACATACGAAGATGAATAACTGGGAACCATTATTAATTTGTAGCATACCAGTAGATATTATCTAACTTAGCTGTTTCTGGACTGAACATACAGATCTGATCTTTTTTAATTTTTTTTAACATTCTGAAAACATATGCCTAAGTGCCAGAAATACACAGGCCTTATTTGTAACAAATATTTCTGTGACCTTTCTGGGTATGATTCAGCTTATGTTACCTACAGAAGAATGAAAAGGACTGTTAGGATGTAGCAGAAAAAGGGGGTCATTATTTTGTTTTGTGGTTAAATACTGTATTATACACTTTAGCTGTAACACAGTGAATATTTTCTATAAACTTAAGTGAAGAGTTAGCTTATAGAATGGGGAGATGTGAGCGGCCTGCCTTTTAGCTTGTCTACTTTTTAGTTTGAAAGGGCTCTGCTACTGTTCTTTAGCTCTGTTGGTGCAGGTTTCAGAGGAAACTGTTGCTGGCTGGATCACAGCCTGAAGGGTAGAGCTGTGTTCAAGTCAGTGAACTGATTTCTAAATTCACAGAGAGAAAGCTGATCAAATGAAATTGTGGAGGTGTGGGGAGATGAGGTGAAAGTGCCCAGGAAAGAATATTCAAGAGTTCTTACTGTGTATTAAGGCATTAAAAGTATACCTTTTTAATACAATTTTGTGTATTTACGTACTATTTTTTAATGTTTATATGACTCTTTCTGCTGATCTGCTCAGTACTTCTCCCATCAGTTTCTGGCTGGTGGTGTGTCTGGCAGTCATTCTTTTGACTGGGGGAGCTGAGAGTAATCTCTACGCTGCTGTACCACATTGTGCTGCTGTACTACTTCTAAGAGATTGATGCACAGAAACTTCACAGCCGAGTTTTGTTACCATTAAGTCAGGGATTCCATATTAGCGGCACTGGGAATTGGGGATATTTCCATCATAAGCACTTCAAAGATGACATCACAGAATCACAGAATGGCCCAGGTTGGAAGGAATCTCAAGGATCATGAAGCTCCAACCCTCCTGCCACATGCAGGGCCACCAACTTCCACGTTTGATACTAGACCAGGGCCCAATCCAACCTGGCCTTGAACACCTCCAGGGACGGGGCATCCACAGCCTCTCTGGGCAGCCTGTGCAGCACCTCACCACTCTGTAAAGAACTTCCACCTGACATCCAACCTGAATCTTCCCTCCTTCAACTTAAAACCATTTCCTCTTGTCCTGCAGTTATCAACCCTTTCAAAGAGTTGACTCCCTTCCTGTTTGTAGGCTCCCTTTAGATGCTGAAAAGCTGCACTGAGGTCACCCCACAGCCTTCTTTTCTCCAGGCTGAACAAGCCCAGCTCCCTCAGCCTGTCTTTGTAGAGAAAGTGCTCCAGTCCTCTGACACGATTCAGAGTTTGTTATATTTCCACAGATAGCATGCATTCAATTACCTGCATGATAATTAATATATGAACACCTCTCTTGGGTAGTGATTGATGATGTTTCCAGTCTTCTATTCCATGGTCTCTTCTATAGTCTAGTGTCCTTTTAGCATCATGACAGTCCAACCGACAGCATTTTACTTCATCCAGTGGTCTTCCTTGCTCTTCCTCCAGATGAACTTTCTTCATTGATGCACGCTCAGTAGGAGGATGCCTATTATAAGTAATTTATAGATACCAAAATCGTAAGATTTGCTCACTCAGCCATTATTTCTGAGCATCTGCTCATCCTTGGATAGAGAGAAGTTTGGCAAGCTTAGTGATATATACCAGGGTGTTGGAAAATAAGGAGGATAGAGGGGAGCATCTTGACATCTGCTTATTGCACCCCACTATACTCACGGATGAAACAGTTTGGCCTTGTGTGGAGGCCCTGACTCCTCTTGATGTTTGATAGCCTACTCGTGTCTTTTCATTATTGTGCTTCTTTTGCTGAACTTCTCTTAAATAGCCTTACAACATGCTTCTAGTCCATAATGCAACATCTAAAAGCCATTACAGTTTTGCAAGCTGATCACATAATACAACAGTTCAACAGCTAAAAATGTGCTACTACAATATATTGTGTATTTACTTCTTCAGATCAGAACTAAGCAGGTGCAATTCCTTACCAGCTCGGATCTTGCCAAGTTAACTATTTGCAGATTTATACATCCATCTTGGCCCCTCCACAGATAGACAACAGGGAAACGTCAGGTGCTGCCTGCGTTTCAACTCGAGCACCGGAGCCTCGCGGAGAGGGAATTTCCCCGAGGACTGCGGTTCCTCCTTCCCCACGCCGCCCCGCCCCGCCCCGCCGGGAGCGGCAGTGCGGAAGGGCTGCGGGGCAGCCCCGCTGTTGGGGCAGCGCCCGGCTCCGTGAGGCTGCGGCTGACGGCGGGAGGGAGCCGCCATGGCAGCCGCCCTACGGGGCGCCCTCTGGAGCTGCCTGCTGCTGTGCGGTGAGTGAGGTGGGCGGGGAAGCGCCTCAGCGGGGCGCTCGGCGGCGGTGGGACCCGGCCTGCGTGGGGAGTCGGGCTGCGCGAAACCCGAGGGGGCAAGGAGTGCGGAGCGGGGCTCCGCTCCTGTGCTGTCGGAGCAGCGGTCGGGTGAGGCTTGTATACGAGGCTCAGGTGTGCCCTTCCATTTCGTTTCAGTATCAGCGATTGCTTTAAAATGATTAAGTTGCAGCAGTAATGGACTATGGCCGGTGCTGTTTGAGGACTTCCTTTACTTAATTTCGGTTTTGTTCTCATCACTTACGAAGCATGCCAATCAATAGCACCTTTATCTGTATGGCATGCTTCATAGATTTCTTCTTCGAAGCTACTTCTCCTTTAACTCCCTTTTTCCGAAGGGCGGCTGTTAAAAGGGACAAAAAGAGCATTTGAAATGTCGGTACTAATCCACGCAGTGATGACATCTGTGAGGGTTCTGTTTCATTCTTTTAGTGCTGGGCAGAGAGACTCTTCTTCATTCCAGGCCAGGTTGGATGGGGCCCCGGGCAGCCTGAGCTGCTGAGGAGCAGCCCTGCCCATGGCAGGGTTTGGGGCGGGTGAACTTTCCAACCCAAACCCTTCTGGATCTGTGGTTTGTGCCCCCCTTCAGCAAAAAAATAAAAATAAAAATAAATAAAAAATCATCCACACATCCATGTTTAGCCCTAGTGCTACAGGAGCACTGCTGAGAAACAGTGCTGGCAATCTCAGTGAAAGCTTGTGCGGGCAGTTTGGTAGGCAACAAGTCATAAGCAGGAGCTGTCATTGCTCAGAAGTGATGTTATTGTGAAGGCAGTACTTACTGGAAGTCATTGATGCCAGCTGATTTGTCTTTGTTGTGCAATCTTGAGACAAATGATAGGCATCAGGGGTTGATTAGTTGTTGGAATGTGGCTAGCACATGCTCGAATGTGTTTGAGAAAACATTTTAAAGGCTGAGATTGAAAAGGAGGGTTGTATTTATTTCATGGGTGACTGAAAAGACAGGGGGGGAACACACACTAAAATGTTTGTTGTTGATTGCTCCCAGTGTCTGGAATAGTGCCCAAGCCCCGAAATGCAAGGATAAAGTCAGTAAATTTTCGGAGCGTTTTACTATGGGACCCACCTCCGGTTCACAGAGGCAATCTAAGTTACACTGTCCAGTTCAAAAGGTAAGTATGGCAGAGTTGTGGTGATATTGTTTTTTAAAATCCACATTTTACAGCTGTGCACGTTTGCTTTCTTTCAATTTTTATAGGGAAATTGGTAGCTCGCCTTTTCTTTTAGCTTGTGAGATGCTTGTCTTTTGAGCTGAATAACAAGGCTGACATTTTTTCTATGCGAATAGAATAGAATAGAATAGAATAGAATAGAATAGAATAGAATAGAATCACTCAGGTTGGAAAAGACTGTAAAGATCATCAGTCCAACCATGACCTAACCATCCTACCCTAACTCTAACAGCCCTCCACTAAATCATGTCCCTGAGCACCACATCCAAATGGTTTCTAAACACTTCCAGGGATGGAGACTCTACCACCTCCCTGGGGAGCCTGTTCCAGTGCTTTACAACCCTTTCTGTAAAGAAGTGTTTCTTGATATCTAACCTAAACTTACCCTGGCACAACTTGAGGCCATTTCCCCTTGTCCTGTCATCTGTCACCAGTGGGAAGAGACCAACTCCTCTCTCACTGTAAGCACCTTTCAGATAGTGGAAGAGAGCAGTAAGGTCTCCCCCCAGCCTCCTTTTCCCCAGACTAAGCAGCCCCAGTTCCTTCAGTCTCTCCTCATAGGACATATTCTCCAAGCCCTTCACAAGCCTTGTTGCCCTTATCTGGATCTGCTCCAGCACCTCAATGTCCTTTCTGTACTGAGGTGCCCAAAACCAAAGCAGTTTCATATGTACTTCTTCAGAACTGGAAACACATTTTAAAGTTGACTCTTAAGAGCTGCGTGTATGTTCTTCACTGCCTGCATAGCCATCACCTGTTGTTTGACAGCTGTAATCCTGCTGAGCATTAGGACCTTCTCTGATCTCTCATCTTTAGCAGCATAATCTCTTATTAAACAGTCCCCAGTCAGCTCTCAGGCTCTGTTTCCCCTGCTCTCTCTTAGACACATCTCTGAGGGGTCTAGCAAAGTCAATTAGAGAGCAAAGACACACACAGAGGTATTGTTCAATATGTGCAGTCTGGTCTAATACCTGCTGAATCACATCTTTGTGACCACTGCCAAGAAAAGGGCTTCTATTTTCTGACTCTCTGAGTCTGTCATGAATGCAAATGTATATATGAAGTGCCTAATGTGTGTGTATACACTAGAAATAATCTACCTTGATCTACCTTTCCTTGTCCATGAGTCATAACTGGGTGCATTAAGAAGCAGATATGCCACTGTCCCGGTTCACTGACAGGAAAGATATTTTGTCCATTTTATAGTTTACCCATCATTTACTTTTTTTTTTTTTTCCCTTCTTCTTCCATACAGCAATTTCCCTAAGCAGGACTTTACCAATGTGGCAACCAACCTGAACGTCACGGAGTGCGACATCTCTGCTCTGTCTGTTTATGGAACCTATGTGCTACGGGTCAGGGCGGTGTGGGAAAATGAGCACTCGGACTGGGCGCTCGTCAGGTTTAAGCCAATGGCTGACAGTAAGCCTTCTTCTAATCTGCCATGAAAATGTTTGCTGTTGGTGCAACTGTACAATTTGGCCCCAGAAGAAAAGCTATAGTGTGGAAATCCATTTTAAATGTAATTATGTTGAAAAAATGAAATGTTAGTTGTAGCACTTTCATTTTTTGAAGGCCGAAGTTGCTCTCAGAAAATGTCGAAGGTTCACTGTTTTACCTGAATATTAGTATTGGGATTCAAAACCCCTTTGGGGGAGGTTTTATTTTATTCCATTTTTAAAAGGGGGCATTCAAAAGTTTGTGTTTTTTTGTCAAGAAATAATCTGAATTGTACAATACTGTCATTCTGTTAGTGAAGCTTTACAGCCCTTTATGAAAGATATTGACCTATATGATTGTGTACAGCGGAGATATTAATCATAGAATCATTTAAGGTTGAAGACCTCTAAGAACCACAGAATGGCCCAGGTTGGAAGGGACCTCAAGGATCATGAATCTCCAACCCCCTACCACATGCAGGGCCCCATCCAATCTGGCCTTGATTGATCCCCTGGCCTCCAGGGACAGGGCATCCACAGCCTCTCTG